TCGAATGATGTATAACTCATGCGAGGACTCCATGTTTATAAAGATGATGTATGGTCAACAATGCGCGGAATCATAAAAAAAAGCAAGAAAATTTAATAAAAAACCAATCTGTGGACCGGACGGTCCATTGCTCGGATACGAGTTATACCTCATCATGTAGAGAATTTAATTCTGCTTCGAATGATGTATGACTCATATTAAGATTCCATTTCCATACAGGTCATTTTACTTTTACATCAATATTTTTTTTAAACGAACTATAGATATCATTTTAGTTATTCTAGCTTATATTAAAAAACTGACATCCAATACATGTTTAGTAAGTGAAATGAAATTCATTAAGAGAATATGTAGTAGTTCAATACGTATTAACCATTGATATGTAAAACATATCCATACAACATATAAAAATTATTGAAAAATAAAAATAGTGTATGGTTGCATTTTTCAAAAAAAACTCAAGAATAGAGCGGGCCAAACTACTGTATTTCTGACTTTTATGTATGAACATGAGTACTCTCGATGCTACCGAAGCACCTGTAAAAACTTTTCGCAATTTAAGCAATTGTTTATGACCAAGCTCATAAAATAATTCGTTGCAGATTTTTACACTACACACATGTTTCTATATCTTAATTTTGAAAAAACTAAACAAAGATGCCTTCATACAATACTGAAAAACACATTTCTGACGCTTCTGCACCCCAGAACGGCATTTATTCTTTTAAAACACGTTTACAATATTCTTTGAAATCAATAAGTTTACTGATACCCGAAAGGATAGATGCTCAAGAAAATTTCTTTCGGTAAGAAAGCATTGGAGAGCAAGAGGACATTCTAAACATCTGCGAACAAATGATGCTGGTATTGGTGCGCTGTCAGTCCTCATCAAAAACCTTTTTCATTGCCATTTCCAGTTCAGTCGTGGAAAAAGCATCTCTTTTACTAATCTATATCGACTTTTTCCATACATGTAAAACTACAATTGAATATTTCGAGAGATTAGCAGCACTACTAAGTCTTCATATGCAGGCACCACAACGAAGAAAGTAGGCCTTTTCTCGGACTCGAAGTGTTCTTGGACACAATATCTTTCACTTACAAAAATCTCTCACACTTCCCAGTTCTCGGATAAAAAATTCACCGCTATCAGAAATTTTTAATGGTTGTTTATTCAAGCATAATTTCTATGAAATGAAATTTTCTCCCGATTCTTTTGTTTTTTTCTCTTACACAATTCAAAACTCACGATCTGTCACCTATATGGAAATGCAATCTCGATATCAGTTATACATCATTCGACGGAGAATTAAATTCTCTACAAGATTATGCATAAGTTATGTCCGGGCAATGGACCGAGTGGTCCACAAATTGGTTCTTTATTAAACTTGTTTGCCTTTTTTTGTGATTCCACCCATTGATGACTATATATGACCTATATGGAAATGGAATCTTAATATCAGTTATACATCATTCGATGCAGAATTAAATGCTCTACAAGATGATGTATAACTCATATCCACGCAATGGATCATATCATGCAGGTTTTTTGTGCTGGTAAAACTTCTTTTTGCTTTTTTTTCCTGACTGCACTCATGTACGAGCGTATATCACCTATATGGAAATGAAATCTGGATATAAGTTGAACATCAATCGATGCAGAATTAAATTCTACACAAGATGATGTATAGCACATGTTTGGGGAAGGGACCTTATCGTGAACATTTTGCTTTTTTTTGAAAATGTTTTCTTTTTTTTTTGTTCGTGCTAACTGTTTGCGTCGTGCTAGCTTCTCGGTGAATTCCGCTGCTAAGGGTCGCCATTTCCAAATTATCAGCCTCCATTCTGATGGTTTTGGTTTTTCGATTTTCCGATTGGTCGTTCATTCGACCAATCAACTTTTTGCTCACGTCGTGGTAGCTCATCGTGTTCGTGGTAGCTTCACATCGATGGAATAAAACACGCTTCGTCGTAATACTACCTCATTTTACTAAATCATTTTATTATACAATGTAAATACGATGATTTTTAAATTCGATAATGAAATCACGTTTCATTTTAAGACTTTTCAAAGCTAATACTTTGGTATAAATGTATTCTGATTAAGATATAGTCGAAGTAGTCTAGGAGAACTATATCTAGCTCCGATAATTGAAACCAACCTCTTTCAACTCATTATTATTGTTTGATCGAATCATATCGTTCTAGTAAATAGCCTTATCACCTAACACTATGACTAGTAATTGCCATTTTATAGTCTGAATAAGTTATCGCTATTGAAGGAAAGCTTATTTCTATCTGAAAAACTAAGTAGAATTTCAAGATATTCTTATAATTGCCACAATCTAAAGATAGAATTTTACGAAAGATATCTTTCTAAGACTTAATTAAATGAAAATGCCAATGAGAAACAATAATTTTATATGAATAAATTCTTATAATTTGAACCAGACCATCTATTAATCGCCAACCGTCACATTATTGTGGCAGATGATATTGAGTAATTTTCATATTTTCAGAGATTTTTATAGAGCACTACAATACTATGTCAATGCCACAACGAAACTCTTTAGTCGAGGGTTAAGCGAGTCGCAGCGACGAGCGTTACTTGTGATTATAATGACTATTCTACAAAAAATCATATTTTTTAATTGTCATAAGCCATTTGATTTATATTTCAGACTATCAAAGTGTCTGTCACAGGTATTCTGTCTTTGTCCAACCCATATGAATAAAAATGAAAAAGATCCACTTTTAAGAGAGATTTCGCTAGACCACGAAACACTGCGACTAAGAGCAAAGTTTCTTTCGATTTTACCTACCCAATCCGAAAGAGCATTCATTTTTATGAGTAAATCCAAATTTTTTCAATTTAAAATCGTCATAACAAGATTTTAGCCCAGACAGTTTTTTTTACTCTTCTGATCACGATGTCATTGGGACCCAAATTTACAGTAGTCTGTATTTTAATATTTCGCTCAAAATAGCTAAACCGATCGAGTCCGTTAAAGTTTCATTTGATAGCCCGTGAGTTGTCCTACAAAATACTATGAATTATTAAATGTATTTGTTGTTGAAGTTTGAAGTTATATGGCCCAGAAGGTTAAAGTCAATGAAAAATTTAACTGTAAAAAGTGCGTATTTTTCTTAGTTTTGACCTTCTGATAATTTCAATTATGATTAATCTCATCTTGTAGAGCTTTTCAAGATACAATCAACCATATAAAATTGAAGATCTCAACACCCTGAAAAATGGCCTACACTAAAGGCTCTATAACAATCCGAAGATATAGACATCAATGACTTCAACGAATACTTGTCGAATCTTCAATAAATTGATGTCATAATTATAAAGCTCTAACAATTGATAAATTATTAGGTTATTGTCATATAATTAAGTTGAATACTTCTGATCTATATATATAAGCTATTGATCAATATTACAAATTTTATTCTTATATGAAAATATCGTTTTCCATAGAATTAAAAATTGGTTAGATTTACGGAACTCATTAGTTCTATAGAAACATACTGAGAATTGTTTCAGTTTTATCTAGATTCGAATACGAACAGATATTATTTTATCAAGAAACCTCCATATGTTTCTATAGAAACCACATTGCCATACTTGAGTGTGTGCGTTGGGTGTGGGGTGTAGCTGTGAGTCTCGTTTACATGAAGATCAAAATTCATACCCACACACCCACATCCACACTCATAGTGTGCAATGGTGAAATTGTATGTAACTTATCTCAACCAACACATACTTACTATAAATCTGTTGATTAGATGATAAAAATGACAAATGAGTAACATCATAAATGAATCTACAAAGAAAAATAAAGCTAATGCTGATTAAATATTTTACTGAATAACAGTACTATGTATAAAATATGAATCGTTTTGATGAAAGTAATTGTATGCTTAATAATTTTCCGCCGAGAGAAACACGGAAGTGGAAGAGCAAGCTAGATTGTTCAATTATAAACACAGGAAATGAATGCCGACGGATTCTCTCACAAATAGTACATGAAATTATATTCAAAGCATATTATAAAATTTATTCAACAGATCGCAAATGAAGAGTTTAAGCCATTTTCTTTTCTTATGTCTTGCTATTTCAATTCAATCATTTGTTTCACAGAAAGAAACAAAAAACACAGATCTTGATGACAACATGTAAAACATTGGTTTATTTTAATAGAAAACATATCTATTAAGAAAGATCTACAAACGACAACACTCAATAATATAATTTTCTTTCTCGTGTGAATATAATGTGCTATCATAGTCCAATGCATTGTCGAATTTTATTTGTTAAATATTCTCTCAATGTTTGATTGTATATGAACAAATTTATAATAATACTTAATATACATAGTTGACTAAGTAGTGCAGTACTCCAAGAAACAATTAGATCAATATGGACAAAATAACTGATAACTGAAGCTAAATAAACAGGAACCCATCCTATAATGAAAATAGAAAAAATAAAAATCATCTGTCGTAATAGAGACACATCTCGACGAGAAATTATTGGTTGTTGTATATTATTGCTACCATTTGTCGGTATAACAGTAACTTGAGGTTGAATACGTTGAGAAGAAGAACGTACATAAGCAAATATTCGAATATTTAAAACAGTATTGGTCAATGACGGTAGAAATGTAGCCATCATACACGTATAAATTGCCATCCATAATTCATAAGAACAATACTAGAAATAAATAGATTTATAGTATTTGACTATATAACTCAGGCTTGAACATATACTTACTGATCCTCGTCTAAAAATAAATGGCAACGAAATCACAAATTCACCTATCCATTGACTTGCGATACATATTGTTACCCATCGTTTTTTTTTGAAGAAAGGATTTGTATGATACACAATGCAACAAAATCGATGGACCGTAAAAG